GAGCTTGGAGCCAGGTGGTCTTGTGGAACATGTCCCTGCCCATGACAGGGAGTGGGACTGGATCATTTTTTTAAAGTCTTTTCTAACCCAAACCATTCTAGGGTTCCAGGATTAGTGCCACAGCAAAAATAATCGCGTGGTCCGTAATTTCCTCTTTATGGCTCTTACCTCAGCCAAATAAAGGGTCCTTTGGGCCAGAGGAAGGATCAAAGCTTCATCACCCGTGTGCTGGGCTTTGTGCAGCTGTGCTGAATGTGACAGTTATTTGTTCCAGGAGCTCCATGGATCAATAACTCTGCAGCACTAAAAACATTTCAGTTCGAGGGAGACTTCAATAAAGTCAGCACTGCAGAGCTGCTGGGACGCTCCCAAACATGAGCCAGGCTCTGGCATGAGTGAAAGATGGGAATGGAGGATGCACTGAGCACCCGCGTTTCCTCTCTTCAAATCTGAGCTTCCAAAGTTTGCTCTTCAAATCCTGACTCTGACTTTTCCCAAACACAGCGCAGCTTGGGCAGGTTTTTATAAACCTTATTGATTTTGAGGGTTTAATTCAAATATCAGATTTATGTTACAAAAGAGGCTGTGGAAGGAAGGTTGTGGCTTTCCCATCCCTGGAAATGTTAAAAGCTGGGTTGGATAAAGCTTTGAGCAGCCTGATCCAGTAGGAGGTGTCCCTGTCCATCCAGGAAGGATTTTGACTAGATGAACTTTAGGGTCCATTCCACCCCCTTAACATTCTGTGGTTAAAATTGTGCTTATAGTAGTTTAAAACACAGTATTAATGTACAAAATTCAATTTTTCCTCAGCTGGATTAGTAACAAGAGATGAGTTTGTGCTAAACACCCAATGGCAGGGGGTTGGAACTAGGGGATCTTCAAGATCCCTTCCAATCCAAACCAGTTTGTGATGCTATGAAACGTACCCATCATTTTTGGCACGTTTTCACCTCATCAGCCTGTGATAAACACAATATTTTTACACAAAGAGAGCAAATTTCATTATTTCATCCTCTTGTGGCAGAGGGAGGTTCAAAACACATGTGAAATTCAACTGTTCAACTTGGGGAGAATAGAAAACTGGGCACAAAAGTTGATTTTGAGCCCAGCTCCTTGGCCAGACTCTTCCCAATACCTGCCACAGGAGCAAGCCAGCAGAATCCAGGCGCATGGCCATGTGTGTTTGTGTTTTATAGTGATGAAGTCTGTGAGTAAAAAGCTGCAGTGGTTTGTGTTGATGCAGTTTGGGCAGTAATGTCCATTTTCCTAGTACACGGAGAGGCTTCCAGGTTCCCTGGGATGGATCATTCCATCTTCCATGCAATGGAAAAAGAATTGCTGTTTCCTCCAACATTTTCCTGAACTGCAGAACTGGCCCCAAAAATGTGGTTTGAAATAACATCTCAGCCATTGAAACTGAAGTTCCTTCTTCAGCAGTAGCAAGTCAGTTCCTGTATGATGCAGACATGTTTGTCATCAAGCCATTGGGCACAGGACTGGGCTGTGAGGTGGACACAGATCACGGGCTGCTGTCACTGGTGGTGGGACCCCAGGAACAACATGGTGGCTTCAGGCTCCATGGAATCAATATGCTTTCCTGAATTAAATGCTAGTTTTGCAGTTCTGGAAAGCCAGTGTTGCTAGTGACTGCCATCTTTACTCAATCCATTACATTTTTATAACTGGTTATTGCAGACATCCTTTTTTCTGGTGTTCTTGGAAGAATTTTCTCTGCTCAGAGAAACTCCAGTTGTGTAACCTGAAGGGATATTTTCATGCTGTCTAACACCTGGAGTTAGTTTCATACAGAAAATCCTTGCAGGAATAAGAGGCCTAAAGGACTGAGCAGGTACAGAATACTTCAAATAACTGTTTCATGCTTTTGTTAGTTTTTATGCTTTGTGCCAGAAGCTCATCCCATGACTATGGTCATAAGATTTGCCTTTGCTCTCAGGAAGGGGTTCAGGACCAAGGCAAACCGTTGTGCCTTGAAAAGCCACTTTTATAAAAAGATCGGTGTTATCCATTAACATTTGGCTGTAGAGTGTCAAACCAGATTTTAGAGTTTATGATATTTCCATTTGTTATTTATTCCACTAGAAGACTAATGCCCAAATGTGAATCTGTCAGGATAATCTTCATTTGAACATGAGTCAGAGGTGCTTAATTCTTGTACATGAAAATCCTGCTTTCCTGTAATCAGGTTATGGGTGAGTTAGGAGGAGTTTTTGTCTTTTCCACACTTAGGGTATTTGTAATAACAGAAACTCTTCCTTCTGTGATTTTCCCCACCTGTTTTTACATGGAAAGGATTGTATTGACTTGAGCCTTTTAAAGTAAACTGTTGTTTGTGAGTCATGGTGTGTCTTGGCTGGTGGAAGTGTGTTTTTAAGGCTCAAGTCATGCTTTTGAGGGAACAAAAACATAATAAAATAGATGCCAGGCCAATAGATGCCAAGCTGGACAGTGCTCTGAGCAACCTGGTGTAGTAGAAGGTATCCCCTGCCCAGTTCCAGGGAGTGGAACTGAATGAGCTTTAAATTCCTTTCCAACACAACCCAGTCTGTGATTTTGTGATGCTATGAAATGCATTAAAATTATGTGTATGGTTGAACTTGCAGTATATGGAGATTTCACCACATTGGTGATAGGATGTTCTTTATTGCCCTCAAGAGAAGAAATGGTGGATCGGTTTGTTGGATCCATGATCCACATCTGTGGTCATCAGTCAGTTCTATGGGGAAGGCAGGAATTAGTGGGGCAGTGGGCACCTCAGTGAGGAGTAAAAGAGATCCAGAGTAAATGTAGAAATAAAACCCAGTGGAGTGGGAGATCAATTCCTTCCTTACAGGGGAGAGGCAAACAGTTCAGTGCTGATCTGTTAAAACATGCAGGTCCTGCATCTTCCACAGACCTGTGTGTCCACACAGCAAGTGGTGTAGTGATTCATTGCCCTCTCTATGTTTATTAAAATTCTCCTTCCTCTTTTTTAAAATACTTTTTAGTGCAGAACCTTCTAGTGACAATCCCATCAGTCATTAACATTTCTTGAACTGTGAAAATTCTATGAATTTTGTATTTTAGAGCACAGTGAGCACTGCCACGTGTGCATGGGATGATATATGGTCCTGGTATCAGCCAGAAATGATAAAGACAGGCTATTTTTAATATATATTATAGAAATGACTGTGGTAAAACATATTTATTAAAACAGCAATTACAAACTAAATATTAAAGGATTGACCAGTGCAGAATTACTACTTTAAACAATTTTCAGGCCATAGCAATAATCTTTTCAATATTAAAATGTTTTCATAACATCAGGATCTGGCACAAGTTTGTTACTGGGAATGATTTCTCTCAGTTTGTGGCTGTGGGGTGTTTGTGTGTGCACATGTAGGATTTTTTCCAGGGGGGGATTAAATAGAATTGACTGCTGGCTTGTAGCGTTAGCATCAGGTTGTGTGTTTTGAGTGGTGCTGCACATGCATGACCATGGTGGCATGGGGGTGAGAAGGGGCTCCAGGCTGTCCTTATCTTGCTGAGTTTCTCACATTCCTCCTGCCCTGCACGGCTCCTGTTACACCGGCTCTGATGAGCTTGCAGGGAATGTGCTGGCAGTATGTCTCATTCTCATCCAGGATTTTGTGTGTAAAATGGAAGTGTGGTACCTGTTTTCCCTCAGCACATCTCCTGAGATGCATCATGAGGGGTAGAGAGGAGGGGTTTTAGCACACCTGTTTTGGTGCAGAGATGGGGGGGTTGATTCCTTGCCTTTCTTCTGCTTCACAGGGACTTCTGTTGAAAAACCATGCCTCAATCTGCATCTCTGTTTTGCACACTCCATTTTAAAAAGAATCTGGCATCACTAATGTTTGAGTGATCTGGTTGTGCATTGTCTGTCAGGTTCCCAATCCTTGGACCTTCTCAGCTCCCTAAAACCAAGAGATTTATTGCTGCCTCAGAGATCATTCTCTGACTTGTTGAGCTTTTATTACCAGGGAAGCAACAGAACAACCTCCCAATCTTTAGCTGCAGATCCCAAATTTAATTTGCAAGACAGGGAACTATAAAGATAAATAATGTAAATGGAGGGGCAGAAGCCACTGACCCCCAGAATCAGTGCTGAGGAGCTTTTCACATTAGCCTTTCATTGTAATGGGGATGAGAGTTTAACTTGGAAATACAATATGACAATCTCTGCGTGTAACTTATTCTCTAGTTCTCCTTCTCTGGTCTGGAATATATTTAAGGGCTTTTACTAAATCACTTTTATTAATTTTACTTCAAAAGATGTTGTACAGAATTTCCTATCTTTTAGAGTTCAGACTGTTAAAAAGTGGAGAAAATCCCATTTTTCTAGCACTAGTGGTCAGTGATGCTTTGTTACAAACACTTTTACCTTTCCCCATCCTCTATTAATTCTCGTGATCTTTTATGGATTTGCAAGGATAAAAGTGGAGTGCTTCTTTTTGCCTTGCACAGTGTTAGCTTTGCTCTGCTCTTTTGTGTTGAACACCAAACCTGTTTGGTTCAACAGTGTTTTGAAATTGAAATTTTATGTTCAAGTAAACAATTACTGAACATAGCATTTATGTGTTAAGTTCAGATATTTACAGTCAAATATCTTAAAACCTGTTGGGCTCTGTGTACCTCTCTATGATCTTTGCTTTTCCACAGTCGCTGGCTGGATCCAGGCTCATTTGCTTCCTATAAAGAAAATTTAATAAAATAGGAGAAAAGAAAATGTTTTAGAATATCAGGAATGTGCCTCAGTGTTCACACACTTTAAAGTCAGCCTGTGCAGTTTGAAAGTTTAACCAAGAGCCATCTCCTTTGTAAAGAATGCAGATAATTTTTTTTCCTGGCAAAAAAAAAAAAAAAAAGTGGGTAACCTGATATGAGTCTGACAGTGTCGTTTAGTTAAGTGCTTCCATCTGTTGCTTGCTATTTCCCTTACTCATGACCTCTCTTTTTCTCTCCCCCTCCTTCTCCCTTAGCCCCTCTGAGGAAAGCAAAGTTTGTTGAGAGCCCTCGAATCCCAGAGTCCGAGCTTGGCTCCCCAACCCTCTCTGCCCAGAAGCTGGACGTTGATGCATTCTGCCCTGGTAAGCTGCATGCAAAGGCTCTGTGTGAACAGGGGCAACAGGCAGAAAGACTTTTTAAATGTATAATATGGCTCCTTTGGCCAGGTGGTTGGTTGAACCTTCCCTAACCAAGTTTTACTGTCTTGCAAATTTGAAGAAGCATTAATTTGCGTTTGTTTCTTGCAATTTTGCATGTGGCTGCTATCCCCTCAGAATAATTTAGAAGGTCTAGAGAGTTGCTTTTGAGAAGATAAAAATGAGCCAATAAACATACTTGCTTTAAATTTAATTTTTAATGCTGGTCTGCAGAGGGGCTGGAATAAAACCGTGTCTCAGAAACATCATTAAATCAGCTTAGCAAAACTGTGAGACCTTGTTACCTGCATCCAAAAATATTGGGGTGTTTACTTTTATTTAGTTAAGAAATACCTTATAATTTATGTATCCTGTAGCAGTTGCTCTGAAATGCATACATGTTGCTTGAGGCCTCTGGTTGAAAAATAAATAAAGCGGGTCATGTCCCTTTCTGGCTCAACCCTGTTCATGTCTGTCAGCTCGGGCAGGCTTTACCTAAATCCCCCAAGCCCTGGAAAAGCCAGCACATGTGAGTGCCTGGAATCTGCAGCTCAGTATCATTTCCCAGATTCTTCCTCACTTGGAAGTGGCAACCTGGGGAAGGCTAGAGTCTGTGGGGGTGCTGGGAGAAGGCTGAAAAGAGCAGCAAGTGTTTGGGTGGATTCTGTGCTGAATTCTGCAGATTGTTCCCCTGGCTTTCCTTGATAATAACCCAAAGGGTTCCATACTCACTGTAGGCTTTGGATGGAAAAAAGGATGTTTAATATGTTGAAATGATGTGCAAATGTGTGACATCTGCCTCTGAAATCTGTAGCTACAGTTGCCAAGGTCACATTAATAAATGACTGTGAAATCAGGGTATTGCTTATTCCTGTGGCTGATGAACTTGTAGAAGAACGTGTAGAGTACTCAAAATTGGATGAATTAATTGAATGTTGTCCAAATTTTGAATGTGGGCTTTCTTGAATGTATTGTCTGGAAGAGAAGTTGTTTCAGAAAATCAAAAGACAGTTCCTGTGCTTGGCAATGCCTAATTTGAGACCACAGTTGCCTTGAAAAGTGCTGCTCCTTTTTCAATCACCATGAATTACAATTAAAATTTTGCTGCTGCAGCCCTTTTTTCTAACTGAACGGCTTCAACTGTCATGTTTATAATTGTTAATAATTATAAACTTATTATGATTGCATCCACAGAGAATTAATCATTGCATTGTGAGATTAAAAAAACATAAATTCCACATTCCCACACCCAGACATGTGCCTCCCCTCTTCCAGAGCTTTGGAGGGCAGGACTCCTGCCAAGCCCAGGGATGGGCTTTGACAATGGGATCTGCAATTTCTTTAATTTCTTTTTCTGCTATTTGATCTCCTTCTCTTGCTGATAGTTTAGTGATCTGAAAGGAAAAGTGGAGTTTTGTACTGCCTTGAAGTGTCATTAAAGGAACATGAAGTGTCATTAAGAAAGGAAAAAAGTGACAACGGCAGAGTTGTCACAGTGGAAGCAGTAAGGTGGGAAAAACCCTTTAGAGCCATCGAGTCCAACTGCAAACCCAGCTCTCCCAGGGCCACCATGAGACTATGTCCCCAAGTGCCATCTTGGTGTACTTGGAAAAGGGAAATGAGTGTATGTGGCAGGGAAGAGCACGGACTTGGAGTCAAGGTAGAAACTGCAGGTTGGGGATTCAGTTTGTTTCGGTTTCCTTAAATGTGACCCCAGGGACTTGTTAGGGAGCTGCTCTCTTCGTGTGTGCCATGTCCAGGGACAGTGGTCAGGTTTGTATTGGCAATTGGGACAGGCAGGGGCAGAGGGGACGATAGAATCCATTGGGGAAGGATTTCTGAAGCTGTTCATGGAAGAACTGCCCAAATGTATGGATCCTTCTGTGAGAGTAGCAGTAATGTTGGGGCTGGAGGTTTTGCTGGTCTTGAAGGCTGGATTCCAAGCTTGAGAATTCCACCTTGGAAGAAGTAGGTGGCTGGGGGAGGATCCTTGTGTAAAGAGGGAAAGAAAGAAAGAACTAAGGTGTGGTCAACTCACAGGAACCAAAGGGGACATAGCATCCAGCTCCTGATGGGAAGGTGGAGGGAGAGTCCTACTCTGGATCATGGCAAAGCTTCAGGCACTGCCTGGAGTCAGTTTTCCAAGGAAATACAACTCCTTTCTTCTGTGCTAGGCTTACATTAACCCTCTTCTAAAATGTGTGCATCCTGTGAAGATATAGCACACAGTGCTAAATCCCAAGCGTTTCCAAGAATAACGGTGTGAGTTGAAAGAAGGGAAAAAATTAGGCTGATGATCTGCCTGGCAATGGAGGGGAGGTGGAGTGGTTTTTAATGTGATCCCTGACAAAAAATGTAATTAATTATACACTTGAAAGCAGTTTAAAACACTAAATAGCAAAGAAAAGAGAACATTAGCTACTCTGCATATATAGGAATAACGATTTCAGTTTGAGATGCCGAGAGGTGAAATTTTGCTCAGTATCAAAATGTTTATTTTAAGGCTTCAGGCAAATTTCAGCACATTCTAGGGAGGTGGTTTCCTGAGCAACTGCAGTGCCACTGCTCGGCCCCTCATGCTGCTGGGGGGAAGATTTGCTTGTGACATCTTCAGTGTGAGTCAGTGTGGGGGAGTGACGTGCTCCCAACGTTCCAGTGCTGAGGAAGGAGAAAGAAGATGACAATACCAAGTGGTATCATGGAGGGACGTTCTAATACCAAGCACAAATAGTAAAGTTTTAAGCTTGGTATAGTTTTTTTTTTTTACATTATATTCATTGTATAGAGAAAAGAATGTGGATACTTAAAAATTAATAAATCTTCTTAAATGAATTTACAATTTGGCCCACATTTTATAGTTGTTGCAACTAAAGTGATGGCAAAAAAAAAGCTGTTCCATGACTTTGAAAAATCCCTTTCTACAAGAATTATCACAGAATCACAGAATAAGCTGAGTTGAAAGGGATCCACAAGGATCATTGAGTCAAATTATGTTTCTGTAGATGTTTTTGTAGTTGCAGAGGATGTTCAGATTTCAGTCCTTGACTTGAAGTGTCCCTGGTGGAGAAGGAGTTCCTTGTTTGTTCCCTGTGTGGGTAATGAGGCCCTGGCACAGGTCTCCTGTCCCTGGAAATGTTCAAGGCCAGGTTGGATGGGGCTTAGAGTAACCTGGTCGAGTGGATGGTGGAGCTGGATGAGCTGAAAGGTCTCCTCCAACCCAGACCATTCTGTGCCTTAGCAGAGACTTTAAAAGGAGGGTCTTGGAAGGTTTCTGATCCATCTTCCCTTCTCTGCCCCAGTCCTGCAGACACTGTTCAGCAGAGGCATTTGTGTTTTCCCCCTTGTCAACCCTCTGAAGGCAGGGAGGCTGGGGATGACGCCTTCACATCCATCATTGCTCTTCAAGGAGGATAACATAACAGGAATTGACCTTCAAACCTCTGTTGTTCAACTGTCAAACCTTTTCTGCAGTGATTCTAGTGACTCTGTTTAATATGTAGGGGTTTTCCCCCACTTTATCACACCTCACTTCTGCCAAGAGGCACTGCTTGCGTGGTAAACACTGTCCTGGCTTCTTGGTTCTTGATTGTGGTCACGAGGGCATCTTTCTTTGAGCTGCTTTTTGTTTTTCATGGCAGCTAAAACATGTTTTGACTTCTAAGTGCTCAGAAAATCTGTTGGAGATGGATGGTGCTTTCAGGTAATGGCCTTTTGCCTCAGATTAATGTTTGCAGTTGCATTTTGTGTAATTTATTACCTTGGTTTTGTGCTCCAAAGGCTAAGCCTGTTATGACATTATCTTTTAATTTGATTAACTCCTTCTTCAGAAATTTTGGGACCCAGATCTTGAGTGTCTGGTTTGCTTGTTGCACATTAGGCTGGCAGGCGTCTGTTTTCATCCCTGATTGAGTTAGGAATCACTGCGGTGCTCCCGCCACAGACAGGGAGGGGAGTGATTTACCATGGCAGCGGCACTTGTGTTCATCTCATCGCTCCTTTTTCTCTTCCTTTGGTTAAAAGAATCGTTGAGCTTGACATCTGCTTGCTGCTGCTTCTCTCTTTTTATCACGTAAAATGTGTATTTTTCATTTTACACTATCCACGTGTTTCTCCTAAACACAGCAAAATGCTTCTCAGGTCTTAGAAAAAGCCCTTTAAGAGGGAGTGCAGGAACCAGCACTCCTCTCTGATTTTGCATTGTGAAAATACAGGCATTGAGCCAAAAAAATCCTACAAAACCCCAAACAAATGTAGCCAGCAGGATTCTGGTCCAGCCTCTGTCATATTGAACAGTGATGAACTGGGGGGAAGGAGAGGAAATAATCAAACCAACCGTGAGCTGACAAATGGTTTTGCTGTTGAATCTTGTGGTTGTCCCAGCACTGTCAAGCCCACTGACCTGAAGGGAATGGGAAATCATTGTGATCAGCCCTAATTGCAGAAGAGCCATAATTTGGCACACTGGTTGCTATGGAAGCAATTGACTTTTCTCATGCTGTTCCTGGGAGGATGCTGTTGGTTCCTTCTGCTAGATCAAGAGATGGAACCAGTTTCAGAATAAACTCGTGTATTACAAAACAAGCCCCAGTCTGGTCTGAAATTCTGGATCAGAGGGAGGAATACTGAGGGTATTGCTAGAGTTCTGTGTGTGAATCCATTTGGGGTTGGCCACAGACCAGTTGCCATTAGGTGTCATCGAGTTTGCTTGAACTGAAAGTTGCAACTTGGAGAATAGTGGTGGGGTCAAGAGTTTAGGGTTTATTGAATCTTACCAAAGTGGAGTTCTTCAAAATAAGAAGTGAAAATAATATGAATCCCATAGGTTATTCCCATATGTTTTTAACTGTTAAATAACTGGAGACTGTGCTTTTCTTGAAGCTTCCTAGTGCAATCTGTTAATACCCAACCCTTACAGGGTTTGGGTTCAATCTACCGGGAGGAGAAAA